CGTTGGAATGCAAAAGATAACTGCTGGAGGTTGTGTGGGGGAGAAGATGCTGTAATGCTTGGCTATTGCTTTTCCCATGACTACTGCACCTGTGTTATGTCTAATATCCTGCCTGGTTCCCATGGACTGGGCGCGCAACCGTTCCATTAGCCCGCCAGCGGGAAAGTTATTCATTGGACCTGTATCTCTTTGAAGTTCCTTTATTATGCTTGATCTAACTGTGTATCCCCAGTTCTAACAAAGAACGTGTTTGAGTATGTCGTCAACGCTTTGAAATAAATTTTGCTTTTCTTAAAACGTGGATTATTCTCGATGCTTGGGGATCCAACACCCATGTGATTACAAGGCAAATTGAGGCTTCAGAAGCCTGCAATTTGCATTTTATAGGCAGACAAAGTTGCATCATCTTCATTACATCTGTTTGAGCCCTAAGACACAGAAGATAAGGGTATGCATGATTTCTAATTTCTCATCGTTTAAACTTGAAAATGCCCATTTTGGTTTCATTTCTCCATTGTGCAATTTGAAATTGTAAATCTTTATTTCCATATTTTGATTTTCCCTGCAGCCAATTCCTGCCCCATTATTTTAATATTTATAATGCTGGCAATGCTCCTGCCAACCTAGCAGTTCGAAAGCAAGAAATTGCAAGTAGATAAATAGGTACCACTTCGGTGGGAAGGTAACAGCGTTCCGTGCGCCTTGGTGTTTAGTCATGCCGGCCACATGACCACGGAAACGTCTTCGTACAGCGCTGGCTCTTCGGCTTTGAAACGGAGATGAGAACCGCAACCCTAGAGTCGGATTCGACTGGCTTTCGAGCAAGGGAACCTTTACCTTTACCTTTAATGCTGGTTGTATATTAATAAATCAACATCATGCATATCATATGCATTAAAGAGAGAACAAAAATTGTTGACAAAGATACAAACCAATAATTAAAAAACTAAATAGGGAACATTCACTCATCCCAAAGACAAAGTTACCCCACAGATCAACTCACCTGGATTAGCTAAACGACTGCTGGTTGGTCCTAAAATCTGGTAAGGATCTATGTAAGAAGGGCCAAAAGAAAATTAAAATGAGACATTATTAAGCCTTGTGGCACAAGAGACAGGATAATGCAAATGTAATTTCATTTTTAATCCCCAATGGGATGTTCTTCCTGCCACCTACACCAACCATTTGAGAGGTTTCAGTCTAATGCTAGTCTGAAGAACAGGCTACAATATACAGACTAATACTTCTTAAAGTATCCAAATTCCTTAAAATCATGATTCAGAAATTAAGACACCCTTGATTCATAAGTCCAGTGAGTGCAGAGCATGAAGGTTACTTATCCTTCCCAGGCCTAACACCTCAGACAGAGGAAGCAGGAGTTGCTTCAGCTTCAGAACTAGCAGCCGGGGTCCACAAAGTCACTAGCTGGTTACCAACCCACTAGATCAGCTCTGCAGACACCATTATATTCAATACCGCAGTCTCACTGTCAAGAGGCAGCTCAGACTCCCCTGGGTCCTAGCTCCCTACCACCTTCTCTGGCAGATCAACTGGGGCTGAGTCTGACGGTTCCTACTTGGCTAGTTGCCACCATGTATCCCACAATGGGAACCAGGCACACCCACTGGTTTCATTCCATTTCCAGTTCAGTCACTGCCTTATCCGCCGGACCATTCAGTATTCTTACCTGGCTGAGGCCGCTGCTGCTCTGGATTTTTGCTCACATTTTGTGTCCCTCCTAACGGTGGACCTAAGAATAACAGAGAAAAGGGATGGATTCAGGTGGGTAGCCGTGTCGGTCTGAAGCAACAGAACAAAGTTTGAGTCCAGTGGCACTTTTAAGACCAACAAAGTTTTATTCTGGGCAATAACTTTCATGTGCATGCACATGTCTTCAGATACAGGTACATGGACACGAAAGCCCATACCCAGAATCAAACTTTGTTGGTCTTAAAGGTGCCACTGGACTCAGACTTTGTTCTGGAGAAAAGGGAAATGTTCTAAGTTAGCTGTATGCACAAGAGGAAGAAAGGATAAAAACACATGCTCAGAATGGGGATTTAACTGGAACAATTCATATTTCTTTATTGAGAGCTGTTAGCCACGGGCTTTCCGGCAATATTATCTTGGGGGGGGGGGGCTCACAATGCTATAAAAAGTTAAAAGCAAGAAAATATATTTTAAAAAATCTTAATCTTTGCAGCACTGCTGGAAGGCCTCGGGGAGCATTGCTGGTGGGCGTCCTTACTCCATTCCCAGCTCAGACAGCCCTGCTGCTATAGATGGTCTCAGAGACATATACCAACTATCACTGGGGTGATGGGACTTCTCTTCCAGGCTGCTGTTCTTAAAACAGGCCTAGCTGCTCCTCTTTCCTCCCTAGCATCTGCCAGAGCTGGCAGAAATCCTCTCCTAAATCCTCAGATGGTCCTGCTAGTCACAGATAGTCTGTTTAGGGCAGGGGTGGCCAAACTGTGGCTCAGGAGCCACATGCGGCTCTTTCACACATATTGTGGGGTTCCCGGCAGGGCAGCTGGGGAAGCGAAGGGGAGGCATACTTTTTCTCCCTCCTTCCCTCCCATCTTCCCTCCCATCCAGGGCTATTTTTGGGCAGGAACACACAGGAACGGAGTTCCGGCTGGCTCCCAAGTTGGCCACGCCCAGCAGGAACTCAGTAGCATAATAGGCCACACCCAACAGCAGAAACTCATTCGATTTAGCTACAATTAGGGGTGTGTGGCCTAACATGCAAAAAGCCCTGGGTTTTGACAACAAACATGGTAAAGAAAATAAGAAGCAAAAGGTGGCTGTGGCTGGATGACCACACTTCTGGTAACATGGGGGTGTGGCCTAATACGCAAATGAGCTGTGCTGTCAGGGGCGTGACCTAATATGCTAATGGTTCCTGCTGTTGGGTATGGCCTATTATGCTAATGAGTTCCTGCTGGGCTTTTTCTACAAAAAAAGCCCTGCTCCCATCTATTTGCTTTCTTTGTTTCTCCCTTTCTTTCCACCTCTTCCATTCTTTCTTTCTACCTCTCTCCTTTTCTCTCCCTCTTAGACAAATATCATTATCAATGTTTGTTTTGACCCCTTTGGTTTTTATTTTTGGCAGTCACGCTTAATGTTAATAAAAAGCAAATTTGCATATATTAATAAAAACGTGTGTCTACTATTTGTTCATGTTTTGCGGCTCTCAAACATCTGACGGTTATTCTATGTGGCTCTTACATTGCGCAAGTTTGGCCACCCTTGGTTTAGGGGTTGCACAGTGCCTGGTGGAGACCCCCCTTTTAAAGCAAAGTCTGCCAATGCAGTTCTTTGTGAACACATGAACCTGCCTGATACCGAATCACATTATCAGTTCATCGAAGTCAGTACTGGCAGTGGTTCTCCATGGTCTCATGCAGAGGTCTTTCACAGTACCTACTATCTGGTCCTTTTGGGGTGGTCTTTTAGCATTTGTGTGTTTGTGTGCCCATGCCTGGAAGTCACGGTAACCTCTGGGGACTCCTACTGGGGCACGGAGGACATTCAGGGAAGTGGCTTGATAGCCTGCCTCTGGACTCCTGACCTTCGTATTCCTTGGAGGTCTACCATCCAAGTGCTAGCCAAGGTTGGCCCTGCTTAGTTTCTGAGATCTGATGGGATCAGGCTTCCATGGGCTATCCAGGTCAGGACCTACTACCTTGTCCTTTTAATGAGAGATGCCGAGGATTGAACCTGGGACTTCCTGCATCCCAAGCAGATATTCTGTCCCTGAGCCACAGCCTTCTTCCCTCTTCTGGAAGTACAAACTGTGCTAGGCACGAGTTCTAAGCTTGGGGTATGCAATGGGAACACTGTGGGGGAGCAAATCTAACTTCAAGGCTGGGTGTGTGGGGGGAAATCTAACTTCCAGCCAGCCTTCAGTGTAATACACAGATTCTATTGCATCACCATGCTATTTTCCCCCATACTGAAATACAGTCAAAGGGCTCCTTAACCCTCTCCTCCCTAGTACAAACAATGGCTCTGTCAGAGTTCTTTCCCTTGTGCACTCCAGCTGATTGCTGCCAGGAGTAAGCCCAGATACAAGCACTAGTGAACAGCTGAAGTACTCCAAGGAAGATGCCTGCCAAAGCCTCTACTGCTGTTCATGGTGGGAGTGGGTGGGTTAAAGAGCCCTTTGCCCACATCTCAGCTAATGTGAGAATTACTCAGAGGGTGGAGCTCACATTGTCCCTTTGCCTTCTCAAAAAAACATGGCTCCCATTAAAACTTAATTGCCAGCCAATCTAGGCAAAAGAGGTATCTCGTCGACTCACTTTTGTTGTGGCTGGAATTCATGTTATTGCCCCATCCTGATCTCCTGACAGCATCGTAAGAGGGATCTAGTAAAAGGAAGCAATAAGAGAGAAGGGCAGGTCATGTCATTGAACGTGGGAAGCAGAAAAGCAAGACACTGGATCAGCTGCACGCTCAGCTGCAAAAATGCCCTTTTATGTTTTCATGCAATACAACTGCAGCACACATTTCTTGTCTAGTGTAGGAGGTAGACGACATCAGCCACAGCTTGGGAGTGTTCATATACCTTAAAAGTCAGAGGACTGAGGGGAAGCAACCCAAGTGGCTCACAACACCAAGGCTTTCATAGAGTTATGAACTGGGAGAATGCCGACTTTAAGCACTAACATACACACAGGATCCTTTGCAGATTTTCAACAGGAACCATACTGGAGGGGCCACATGTTCCAAGACAGCATGCAGGTCATTTGTTAAAACATATTAAAACATCCTTATGCCTTTGCTAAAGCTTCATAATATAACCCACCTGCAGCATTCAGAAACCAAGAAAGTTACTATTCGTCACTAAAGAACTGCAAAGGAAGGCTCCGTTGTGGAAAATGCTCCATGAGGATTCATTCAGAAGCTTGATGAACTGAAAAAAGGTCATAGAGTTACCAGCCTCCAGGTGAGGCCCACTTTGACAGCTGATCTCCAGGCTACAGAGATCAGTTCTCCTGGTGAAAATGGCTGCCTTGGAGTACGGATTGTATGGTATCACACCGCTGCTGAGCCCCCGCCTCCCCCTAAACTCCACCCTCCCCAAATCTCCAGGAATTTCCCCACCTGGAGCTGGCAACGCTAGTATTCCTTAGCCACTGCAGGTGCTAATCACTTTAGCAATACTAGGGAAACTGTACTATCAGTAGTTACTGCTATTGCAAATTTTTCTTGATGACATCTGAATTTTACAGAATTGCCTCTCACCTTGTCCTTCCTGCATTTCATAGTTTATCTGGTCCCCAAATCTCTGACAGACAGACAGACAGATAGACAGACAGACAACAAGACCAGTTCAATGTTTTTTGGGGAGGCCTAGGCCATTGCCCACGTCTGCCCACCACCAGGCTGACCTCATTCCTCCCTTCCCACCCTCCCGCCTACGCATCCGTCTTCTGCTCTAAAGCCTTTCCATCACCTGGTATGTGGGGGGGGGCACGCTGGGCCTTGGCAGCTGACCCACTATAGGGTATGATGATGCCATGCCTGATAGTTAGCTGGACCGTCAGTCAGATGGATAGTCTCTCAAGTGGGGACCCATCTCCCGCATCCAACAAAGCGGAATCTAATTCACAAATGTTTTGGGTAGGAAAAGAAAAAAAACTTTTCCTCTTTTAAGATATTGCAAGACTGCAACAGAATAACATGGTAACTTTCCCCCGTTAAATATTGTTTCAGTTATCTTTTTCTCTGTCTCTTTCTCACCTATTTTTTTCTCTCTCTCTGTATTTTACTGCTTGTCCTCATCTGCAGCAGGTTGCAGTTAAGTCACACAATCTCCTTTTTAAAAAAGGTTTTAAAGAGAAGATTGGACAAGCATCTGTTGATATGTGATATCAGTCTTCGGACTAGAGGGGCCCTTCATTTCCTGCAAAATTACAATTCCATGCATGTACAGGAGACCCAGCTCATCCTAAGAGACCTGCAACCCACTTCGATAGCATAGATACATCCATCTGGCTTAAAATATTCAAAGTGAGACCAAAGTCACGCACGGTTGCCTTGTTTTCTCCCACAGGGCGGGATAAGGACTTAATTTATATTGCAACCGTGTCTTTGAAAGTTGACTTTCTGAGACCAAGGTGAGAGGCAAAGCTACAACTTTCATGTGGGACACTCAACCGGATGAGGGTAAAAAGCAGGTTCACATGCAGATCCCAGGGCAGGCTAGTCTCAGGAAACGGGTTCAAGGGGGAAATGCACAAATCTCATCATTTTGTTTTTTAAAACTTGCATAAAAGTACTGGAAAAATAGACATGGATGTCAAATTAGCATGCAAGACTGGGTCCTTCTAATCAAGAGCAAGCCATGTGGTTAAACACTGAAGTCCATGTTGAAAACAGACCCATGATTCATGACCCACATTAGTATTCTTGCATGCAAGTAATGTAATTGACATGAATGGAACAGAAGCGACCCAAATTTTCTGGCCAAATTAGATGAATGTTGCTAATTGTGTATTTAGTCTGTACAATGGATTGGATGAACCTCAACACCAAGATCTGGAAACATCCACCCTGTTTACATGTTACAGTGAATGCATGTACATTCTGCCCATATGTGTGTTCATCTGTTTGCACGAAAGAGCCAATGGGGATTCACTTTACAAATAAAACCAGGGACCAGTACCTGAATAAATGTGGGGTTTGCACCCCACATCCAGCTGTGTATGCAGTGATTGTACCATGAGGATTATTCAACACATATAAAAAGAACAACCAAGAATGCACTGTACACATATTGTATGTGCGTTCACTGCAACTTGTGGACAGGGCTAGTTGTGCGGACCTGATGTCATGTGATCTCTTTCAGTATGATTCCCAGGATCAATTTGCTTATCTCTCCTCTGAGCATGGGGTGGAGAGGTTACAGTGTCAAGCTTGGGCCTAGGAGACCCGGGTTCAAATCTCTCACAGAAGGAGCACATAGATTCATCCATAAAATGCAAGCTACATGCTTATATTGCCCCAGTTTGCCTCAGGGCTGTGCAGGGAACAGAGAAGCGGTGTCCTTTAAGAAAACAAGCCTTTCTCCTTTAAAACGCTAATATCAAAGCAGGAGAGCTTATCTGGACAGCAGTAATGAATGGTCGTTGAAGGGTTAACACCTTCGTCCTTCCTTGAAGGGCCTGGAGGCAAACCAATAATACATGAGTGTGCATTTTGCAGTTTATGAATGGAAGAAAAGGTTTGATCCCTGTGTTATGAAGCTCTGTGGGTGACTCTCTCAGCTGGTCACCCTCTCAGCCTAACCTAACTCACAGGGTTGTTGTACGGGCAGAATGAAGAACGAGAGATCCATTTAAGCTGCCACGCACACCATGAAGGTAAGTCAGGATAAAAATGTGATTGGGGGGGCATTCTTTTGATATGTGAACAAGAAAGCATTTATCAACAACAACAGCTTTCAATCAACTTCATCTGAAACCAATAATCTTACACGGTGCACAGGCATAACATCTAAGACTGGAAGGAATGACAAGAAGAGCCATTGCCTGACTCAAGAAGGATCAAGGTTTTTTTTTAGTAAACAACAACACAATCAGCTTACGAACATAAGGTTGCCAACCTCCAGGTAGGGCCTGGTGATCTCCTGGAATTATAACATCTCCAGACTACAGAGATCAGTTCCCCTGGAGAAAATGCCTGCTTTGGAGGGTGGACTTCATGGCACTGTCACGGATTAAAGGGCCTAGAGGTCCTTCTGCTGAATTGCAAGGAGCCCCCCCTTCTCATCGGCCAGAGACCCTGAACACAGCCTTGCCCTTTACAGCCCCAACTTGCCCGATGCCTGTTCCCCAGTCCTTCCCTGTGCACCTGTTACCCAGTCAGTCCCAAAGAACTAGAACATTATACGCAGCTCAGAACCTTCCCTCCAAACCCCACCCTCTCTCCAGGCTCCACCCCCAAATCCCCAGGAATTTTACAGTCCAGAGTTGGCAACCCTATAAACAGAGATGTCCCTAAAGACAGCAACACAAGATCATTTAAAGCTAATCCTCTAAAAATCTTGTTTTGGAGGAGTGGCTTTAATCCTCAAATGAATTCAGGACAGAAGATCCTATTCTGTTTGGGAATGGTGAAGAGTTGTGAAGGAAGAGCGAACTCCTGCCATGGGGAATCCCACGTGCATCTCTATAGTCCAGCTGATGCTGGAAAAGTCTGCTGGGGTGTTTTTAAAATAAAGATAGAGATGTTGGCATGGAAATTTTTTTAAAAATACAACGAAGAAAAAAGGTCAAGGGAAGAGAGAGAAGAGAGAAAACATGAGCTCATTTCCTTCAAGTATCTTCGCACTTCTCTACTATTTGGCCTTTTAGGAAAAACGAGCATCCAGTTCCTGTTGCAATGAGACAAGATATATTTGCAGATGATACCAACAGTGATATGTTTGTGGACTCTGGAAAGCTTCTTCTTGAAGATACAAAAATAGAAATGCAGCCCAGGTGTTAGATTATATTCCATATGAATGAACTGTCAAAGCAGCAAAGGAAAAAATGCTTTATGTGTTTTCTTTAACTGTGGTGACGTTTGGTGAGTATAAAGGAAAGGGCTTTTTAGGCAGTCGCCTCCAGCCTTTGGAATTCCCTGGCCCAAGAAGCCTCCTTGGTTTTGGTCTTCCAGTGATAACTATATCCTGGACTGGCTTTGATGGCAGCTGAACCCCAACATTCTGATGATTTTTATTGCTAGATCCAAGTCTTGATCTGTTTAATTTTTATTATTAGCCCAGTTTCCATGATTTTTTTTAAAAAAAACTGCTTAGATTTTACTGACTGCTTTGTTGATGGTTGTTATTTTAAGGTTTTAAATTTTTTAAATTTATTTTATTTCATTTTATGGCACTGCTTTTTATTGTGTTGTTGCTTTTTATTGTTGTTGTTGTTACTGCTTTTCATTGTGTCTTTAGTCTCTGTTTTATGGCACTGCTTTTTATTGTGTTGTTGCTTTTTGTTGTTGTTGTTGTTGTTACTGCTTTTTATTGTGTCTTTAGTCTTTTTAGGCTGCTCTGAGTACCATGATAGAAGGGGGAGGGTAAACACACAGCACATGAACAAATAAATATTTTTAAAGCATTACAAAAGATCTGAGCCAAGAGCATGAACCACCAGCCACCCCCGTGTCTCCAAACCGGGCCACCCTACCTAGCAGTGTCTTTCTCCCCAGTGCCACATGCAAAAATACCATAGGAAGCTAGCAGATTGGGCCTAGAACATGGAAAAGCCCCTGAAAAGGGGGGGGGGACCTACCACTCAGTCTGTCTAAGTAGGGTTCTCAACCCGGAGTTGGCAATCCTAGCCTAAGCATGGGCCTAAGTGATAAGAAT